AAGAATTTGAGAATTTTACTCCTAGGTCTTCTCCTATTTGAGTGTGCCTGGTGAAGAAGTAGTGTATTCTGTTGGAATCTCTTGTCATTCCTGATGTTCAACTTGGTTCTGTGTGCTAGCTGAGTCATCACTAAAAGATCAATTTTCTAGTGCAGATCTATATTTACATTTTTTTATATCTCTGTGCTGGAGATTCTTCTGGCTGCCATGAACTTTTTAACCTGTAAACCAAGTGGGCCTGCATTCATTCTAAAATTCCCCAGTTTTGTGTTCAGTGGTGATTCATATCCAAATTGTAAAGTGTGTTGGAAAGTGGATGAAATAAACATTTGATGAAGAAATCCAATGATTCATTGGAGTTAGGCTCAGTCTTCAAACTTCCACCTTGCAACAAAACACACATAGCAGTAATGCAACTTCAGCACCCAATCAGCTCACTGGCCATGTGCTTACAACATTCAGTTTCCACATTCATTCTCAGATGTAAGGGCTTTCTCTTTGCCACGGAAAGTGGGCCAGAAACCACACGCCTTTCACAGCCTGAATTGCTTGCTACCTGAAATCCTCAATGTGGCTACTATCATTTTCCATGACTGTGCCATGTGTTGACTTCCACTCAGTGTGGCAGGACATCCACAAGTTCCCTGTGTTGTTGTGACTGTTTCTTTTTCTCAAGTCCCTACAGTACCTCCTTCTAAAAAGTTGAGCCTCCTCTTAAAGTGGTAACTGGCCATAACACTTGAAGATATGAGAAGCAACAAAATAACCATCTTCTCCAGGGTTGATCGACTACTCAGGGGGAGTCATTGTTCTACCAAATCTTTCTACTGCAGTTAAGGGTTGTAAGAACAATAAGTTCTCACCTACGGTGGAACTTGGCTAGGAATGTCAGTCTGTCTTCCCCAGAAGTGAAGATGCCAGGTGTTTATTATTTTTCTGAATGTGTGTTTTCTTTTGCCTCATACTTTTTAACCCATTTTGTCATCCATTTTCATGGACCAGCCTTGACAAAAATACCTCTTGCCAGGGTAGAGGCATGTGGATTTAGAAATATAGCAAAGAATATGAAGACACAAATGAAAGTAATAAAATGGAGAAACATAGACTAATATAAGGAGGGAATTGCAGTGGGTACTGAAATTTACCCATGATTAATTTCCAATTGCTTAAAATACCCCTGACCCCAAAAGGTAGGAGTAAGACAAAAATCTATTAACATGATACAAGGAAATGAACATATCAGTTGAAGGTTGCAGGTACTTCCGTAGTTAAACATTCTGTTGCTAGAACAAAACAAGTCATGCTCACACGCAAGACCAAAACGTTCTGTAGACAAACCACTCCCTGGGGGAATACAAAGTTATCGCCTTAAGGGAACTGGACACTTAGTTGGATCCTTAGACTTTTGTTTGAGGTGAGCACACATCTACTTCTGTATCCCTGAGGTACAAGGTCTGGTTATCAGCCACACCTGTTGACAATAACTTTGAGAGAGCAAAACTCTTCTTTCCTAGGTGGGACCTTTGAGGTAGAAGGACAATAACTTTGAAGGAACTAGAGGTAAGTTTCAACTCTCTGACCTTTGGTCAGCGTGGAAACAGGCTCACATTTCCTGGCATCTACAATCCATTCCATGTTTTCAGATGCTTCTCTTTGATTGTTCACTGTAAAGTTTGTCCTTTGCTACGCCATTTCCTGTCTTCCAGAGTGACACAGAAGTTTTGAGTCATCATCTTACCCACAAAGCATCTGATTCAGTTCATCCACAGTTTCTTTTGCCAAAATTTGTCATTTCAGTCTAAAGATCATATATATGTTTTCTTAGTTTTATTCTTTATGCATTTTATTTTATTTTGAGAAATTTATGAATAATTTTGCATTATATGAGGTGTTGTATTTCATGCTCTTCTAGTACTCATGCACACTTTAATAAATCTAAAGTATTTTTCTTTCAATTTTGGGATGGCTGTATTATTAATTATACCATCTGAAAATATGTCTGTATTGGTTTCATCCCAACTTGTATTCATCTCATTTCTTTTTCTTGCCTTATTCCATCGACTAAATCATAGAATAATGTCTTGGAGAAATGTGTTAAATGTGAACATACTTGCCTTGTTCGATTTATCACAATTAACTATGTTAATTATAGGAAAATTATAAGCATGTTTTGCTCCTAAGGAAATTTTCTTATGTGAAAAATGTGCTAAAAGTTTTAAATTTTATGCTCAAAATTATATAGATATTTAACTTTATATGTTTGGTACATATATTTTGCTTTTCTTCCTTTTGTAGTGTTGTGAATTACTTATAATTAAAATTATCTTTAATTATAAGTGTGACTTGTAGTTTGCAGGGTCAGCAGGATAAATTTCTTTTGCCAGGTTTAAGGGAGGTATTTTAGTAGTAAATTCTCTCTCTCTTTTGTGTTATTTTTTTCCTTTGAGGAATGTCTTGTTTCTTTTTTACTCCCAACATATACTTTTATCAGATATAAATTTCATGACTAAGAATTACTTTTTGTACTTGTAAAAATGTATTTTCCCCACTGAACTTCAAGGTTTCAGATGAAAAATATGATCTCATTTAAATTTGCTATCTTTTACCAGTCAATATGCCTTAACTTTCACTTATCTCGGTGATTTTTCACTTGCTTAAGACTGCAGAGGATTGATTGTATCTATTATAAAACTCATTTGACTTTTCCAGTTTATGGTGTACTATCACTTTGAATTTGTAATTATGCCCACCACATAACTAAAAATCCTATTTTTAGTTATTTTTTATTTGGAAATTTTCTTAGACTCCCACATAGAATTTAAATTTTAAAAGGCAGAACTTTTGTTATTATTCTGATGGTCCTCAGGGATATCTTCTTTGTTCATTTTTGTTTTAAGTGTATATACCATCTATTTTTAATACTGAGTGATTTATATTGATATGTCTTTGAGTTCAAGTCAATTTTGCTAACTGATACACCTTTGTTATATTTTTTCATATTAAAAGCTCTCTTTAGTAATTTTCTTTGATTTACAAATATTGTGTGAAATTTTATAGTCTTTCCTTATTTTTAAGAGTGTTTACAATTCCTTATTGAAACACTTTTATGATTGTAGAAAATATCAAATATTTTTAACATTTTTAATCTCATTTTCAATATATGGATTTTTTTAGTTGTTCAAGTTGTGATTAATTTTCATTTGTATCCTGGATATTTTGTGTATTATGGTATAATAATTTTAATTCTATTAATCTCATTTTCTAGATATTGATCCTGTTTAGGTGTCTTCTGATGTTTCTAGTGTTGAACATTTAACTCTTCTCGTTTTTATGTGTCATAGAGTTGTGAAGCAGAAGACTGAATTGTATCAAATCATTAGAGTAGAAAGAAAATCTTCAGCTGGACTCTGCTGATGTTATGGTGATGGAGGAAAAAAAGCTGAATAAGTTTATCTCTTTTTGATTCCTTCTGGATTATTGGTGACAAGTAAGGTGAAAGATCTGCTTTTTCCATCAGTCTTCTGCACCAATCTAGCAGAGACTCATGATACTTCCCTGCTTCCTTCAGTCATAAGACAGAAAAATTCTCCCACATCAGCTTCATATAGTTTTCCCAGGAGAAGAGTTGGAGGCCTATCTGCTTACTCTCTGAAAAGGACAGCAAATACTATGCTTGATGTGATGGCTACTTTTATGAATTTTGTCTCCGGGTCCTGAGCAGCTTGCAGCAAGGCTGGGCAGGTGACAGTGAGTCCCATGAAGGCTCAGGTTCTCAGCAGTGGGTGGGCAATTGGGTGGGAGACGCGTGGGCAGACACACTGTAAGGATCAGAATTGGATATTTATTACTTAGAGGAGGGGCGAAGGAGAAGAGAACACACAGAGAGAGAGAGAGAGAGAGAGAGAGAGAGAGAGAGAGAGAGAGAGAGAGAGAGAGAGGGAGAGAGAGAGAGAGAGAAAGGGAGATGGAGAAGAGAGGAGAGTCAGAAGCACAGACAGACAGACAGACAGAGGATGGAATAGAGAGCTCAGGCTGGAAGCTGAAGATCAGCCTGGCTCAGCGGATGGGGGAAGGAGTGGGTGTGGCTTGTCTCTTAAAGAGATGAAAACCATAACAGCTACTGTTACTCGTCACCTTGAAAGCCTCCAGAATCACCTAGCAGACAAGTTTCTAGACGTGCCCATGGGGATGATCTTGATTGTGTTTAGGCAGAAAGACAAGCCCACTCTGGGAGTTACCATTCCCCAGACAGGCAATCCTGGGTTATATAAATGGAGAAAGGCATTCGAGTAGGAGCACGTATTTATCCCTCTCTGATTTCTGATTGTGGATACAATGTGCCCAGCTGTTTCAAGCTCTTGCTGCCTTGACCTCTCCTTGAACTGTGACCTAAAAATAAACACTCTCCAAACTTTAAGTTTCTTTTGTCAGAGTTTTTTAATCACAGGAACACGAAAAAAACTAAAAAATACCTGCTAAACCCTTCTAGCTTACTCCACAAAGGTAAACAATTTTTTTTTTTCTGTCTCTCCTGAAGGGAAATAAATCACTTTCTTAGTGTATTCACTGAGGCAGTCCTTCTGGGGAAACACAAATAGGGCCTGGGAAGAAAGACAATTTCCTTGTATAATCACACTAAAACTCCTTTGGTGATAATTTTTTGTCAGTAATTTGTTCAACTGTACATTGCTTTAAAATGTATCTTGTTAGTTTTCCCATTTATCAGTGTTTTGGCTAAGGGGAATTAGCTTTTCTTGGAAGTTTATGTTCTGTTTGTAAATTTACCTTTTTACTGATTCTTTGTAGATTTCACATCATGCATCTCAATCTTACTCATCTCCCCATCCTTTCCCGTCTGCCCTCNAGAGAGAGAGAGAGAGAGAGAGAGAGAGAGAGAGAGAGAGAGAGAGAGAGAGAGAGAAAGGGGCATGGAGAAGTGGGGAGAGTCAGAAGCAAAGCTGCCTCTCCTAGAGGAAGATGGAATAGAGAGCTCAGGCTGGAAGCTGAAGATCAGCCTGGCTCAGCGGATGGGGGAAGGAGTGGGTGTGGCTTGTCTCTTAAAGAGATGAAAACCATAACAGCTACTGTTACTCGTCACCTTGAAAGCCTCCAGAATCACCTAGCAGACAAGTTTCTAGACGTGCCCATGGGGATGATCTTGATTGTGTTTAGGCAGAAAGACAAGCCCACTCTGGGAGTTACCATTCCCCAGACAGGCAATCCTGGGTTATATAAATGGAGAAAGGCATTCGAGTAGGAGCACGTATTTATCCCTCTCTGATTTCTGATTGTGGATACAATGTGCCCAGCTGTTTCAAGCTCTTGCTGCCTTGACCTCTCCTTGAACTGTGACCTAAAAATAAACACTCTCCAAACTTTAAGTTTCTTTTGTCAGAGTTTTTTAATCACAGGAACACGAAAAAAACTAAAAAATACCTGCTAAACCCTTCTAGCTTACTCCACAAAGGTAAACAATTTTTTTTTTTCTGTCTCTCCTGAAGGGAAATAAATCACTTTCTTAGTGTATTCACTGAGGCAGTCCTTCTGGGGAAACACAAATAGGGCCTGGGAAGAAAGACAATTTCCTTGTATAATCACACTAAAACTCCTTTGGTGATAATTTTTTGTCAGTAATTTGTTCAACTGTACATTGCTTTAAAATGTATCTTGTTAGTTTTCCCATTTATCAGTGTTTTGGCTAAGGGGAATTAGCTTTTCTTGGAAGTTTATGTTCTGTTTGTAAATTTACCTTTTTACTGATTCTTTGTAGATTTCACATCATGCATCTCAATCTTACTCATCTCCCCATCCTTTCCCGTCTGCCCTCTGCCCTTGTGTTCCCTCAGATTAAAAAAAAATTCAAAAGAAAAGAAAAAATGTAAAATCTCATTCTGGAAGCTGTAGTGTGACTTGGTGAGTCCCACAGTACATCTTTACTTGTAAGTGTTCATTGCAAAGAGTCATTTGTCTGGTTTGAGGCCTATGGCTTCTGCTACACTATCAATACTGGGCCCCCACTAGGACTCCTCTTGGATATCCCGTTGTTACCTTGTGTTATGGGAATCCTTCAGTTTTGACTCTGCAGCACCAGCCCCTTCATGTAATTCAGCAGATCACAGATGGGGTGAATGTTGGAATGGGGCAACTGATAGCCGTGGTTCTGGACCTGGGAGGTCCAGCAGGGTTGTCCACCAGCTCTCCCTTATCCTCTTTCCCCCAGGGGGAGCTCTCTAGCACCACCTCAGCTAGCTCCCCCTATGCAGCAAGCAGCAAGGAGAAGTAATTCTCCTGTTCTCACTCCCTCCGGGTGACTCACCCACACCTACAGCACCAGGGTTAACTCTACTGTGCTGCTTAGGTAAAGTACAGGAGCCACTCTGCTGGCCAGAGGGAAGGTCATCTCTCCTGCTTGAGTGACTTCAGGGCCAGCTCTCATACCTGCCACAGGCATGAGGGGTGGGTGGCTTCTCTCCCTTGCCAACATCTATATGGTAGATGAAGGATGGAACCAGATCCCTCATGCTCATGTTCTCAGGGCCAGCTCATGCACACCCCCATCAATGGGGTCAGCTCTACTGTGATGCCCAGGCAAGATTCAGGGATTCTTCTGGGCACTAGAGCTGGTGGAGGGGAGTAGAGTCAGTTCTTCTGCCAGCAGCAAGTAATGGGGGTTGTGAGGAAAGCGAGGGCATCTTTACCCCATCCTTATCACTATAGGGCAGACAAAAGAGGTGGGACCAGCTCTCCTCTCATGCGTTCAGGGCTGGCTGACCAGTGCCCTCCAACAACAAGGTCAGCTCTACTGCATTGTCCAGGCAAGTTGCAGTGTCTGCTTTCCCAAGTGTTGTGGCTGGTGGGGGGGGGGCAAGGATCGCTCTCCTAACTCTGGTGGTGAGGAGCAAGTGGAAGAAGACATCTTTCCTTCTTTTTGCCACCACGTGGAAGAGGAGGGATGCAGTGCCAGGTCTTCCGCTCTCACAAACTCAGGGCAGGCTAGCCTTCAACAGCAGCAATTCTATTGTGCTGGCCAAAAGGGAGGTGCTGGGCCTATTCTCCTGTTCTTGTGAACTCAGGGCCAACTCTCCTACCTGCTATAGGCAGTGAGGGGTGGGGGAAGGGGTAGGGCATCTTTCCTTCACCCATGCCACCATATGACAGATGAGGGGCAGGGTCAGATCTCCCATGTTCAAGTTCTTGGGGCCCATTCACCTGGGAAATATATGTTCTTGAGAGTTGACAATTGAAAGTCTCCTCTCTCTCTCTCTCTCTCTCTCTCTCTCTCTCTCTCTCCTTTTTTCCCTCTTTTCCTCCCCCCCCCCGCATATTTAGGAAACACTGAAGAGATACTTGGTACTTAACTGCATTGATATTCCTTGGGATTCTAGTTCCTTAGGCAAAACATCTTTATTCTTTCTCTTTTCAGAAAATTATTTTTCTGCTAAGTCTAGGAACTTCTAGTTGTAAGAGGGATCATCTGGAAGTAATGAGTCTATGTCTTGGGTCAGAATTCTGTGGAGCATGATAATACTCAGAATGAAAATCTTACGCATATAATAGGTCCTCAGTATGAGAATCTCTAAGAGCAACATAGGTCTCTAAGGTATTTTAAAGAAATAATTTCCTTTTTTTCTGAACAACATGAAGTAAAAGATGCACATACATGGTTGGGGAAATATAAATATTTCCAGAAAGCAATATGTAATACATATGAAAATAAAAATGACCTTTATATAAGGAGTGGTTCTACCATTATTATAGATCAGAGATAATCAGAAATTCAGTCAATGAATTGATTATGAGGGCATGTATTAAATTTTGTATACAAATTTGGGAAGTAAATAGCTCCATTGCTAAAGTGTTTGCTTTGCAAGCATGAGAACTCATGTTTAATCACTAAAACCCATGATTTGTTTTGTTTTTGAATTCAGGAGGATTGTCACATACTTATAACCACAAGACTGAGGAGGCAGAAATAAGCAGATCCCTGGAACCTCACTGTCTAGCTAGCCCAGGCTACTAGGCAAGCTCAAGCCAGTGAGAGATCCTATCTCAGCAAAAGGTAAATGAACACATCTTGTTTGCAAGGCATAAATAAATCAGACTGGAACTGAGCTAGAAGCTTCATTCTTCTTGGCTAGATTTAATAGCGCTGGAATTGTACAGTGTAGGCTACTGGGAGAGAAAATTATTGAAGACTTATTCATTTGTGAACACAGTCACACAAGATGGACCCTCTGGTACAATAGTGGCATAGCTGTTTCTCAGGTAAACAACTTCTTTCTTGTGGGAAGTGTTCTTTGTGGGGCCAAACAGCTCATTCACAGGGGTCACCTAAGACCATCAGAAAACACAGATATTTACATTATGATTCATAACAGTAACAAAATTATACTTATGAAGTACCAACAAAAATAATTTTATGATTGGGGTGGTCATCACAACACAAGGAGCTGTATTAAAGGACTGCAACATTAGGAAGGCTGAGAACCATTGCCCTAAAGAATTCATGCCAGGTACTTTAAATCTGGTTGAAACCTCAAGGCTGGGAAAGTCATAGACTATAAAGGGTAAATTAGCACTGTTGCTTTGTTATATGGACATGTTGTCACACTGCCGTCTATTTATGGCTGTACCCATAGATCGGTGCTTCCCTTTGCTTTGGTCAGAGAAGCTTCTGTTTGCATTGGGTGACAGTGGCAGAGATTTCTAACTCTCAAAGTAATGAAGAGAAGTTGCAGCTGAATTCTCAGCCTTAAATATGACATCTATATGACCAGATATCAAAGTACTAAAGTTAAGTTTGTGTTGAGATGTCTTATTTAGGGATGAGTACTCTCCAAAGCTCAGGGAATTTCAAGAAAGAATAAATAGGCAGAAGTTGGAAGAGAGTTCTTTGAAAAGATGTCTACTGAACATGACTTATCTTTGCATCTGTGAACTCACAAGACCTGCACAAAACTGGATCTGTCAACATTCTATCATCGATGGAACAGCTATAGGCAGTTAATGGTAGATGACGTGTGTGTGTGTGTGATATTCATATGTGGGGTAACCACTAGGAAGTTGCCTTTCTTTGAGTAAATAATGTTTTATTATTTGTCCCATTCATGTTCATGCAAGCAACCTCAGTTAAGTACATAAAGCTGCAAATAAGGGGGGGGGATTGATGAACATAGGAGAAGACTTTTGGGGAAAAAGAAAGATTTTGGTGTGATGGGGAGGAAGATAGAAAAAAGCATTTGATATAAGGGAAAAGGAGATATAGAGAGAATATTGATAAAAGAACAATATCTATGAAACCATGCATGAATAAATTGTTTTATATTTTTAGTAACTTGTATTGAGTTTGTTCTTTGACAATTTCTTGCATTTTGATTATTAACCCCCTCAATTCCCCTTTAGCTCTATTAATCCCCTATCTTCCTTAAAGTCCTTTTCCTACATTCATAACTTTGGTGTTGATGGTAGTGGGGTTTTTATTTTAATTTTGAGACCCACTGAGGGTAACCAGGATCATCTGAGGGACCAGCGGTTTGAAAAACTATCTGTTGGAGCCTGGTATGCTTCTCAGTGGATACAGCTAAAGACAGTGGTTACTCTCTCCTTTAGTAGCCAATAGTTCTGAGGGAGGAATAGTTACACATTAACTCCCCTCCAATCTATGATTAATTGTCTCCTGTAGACCCATAGCAGGCATCCATGGCTGCTGCAAGATCAGGACTGGGTTGACTGTGGCATATCCAAAGATAACATTTCCTAGCCCTTTTCCCTATCTTCTGATACTTATATTGAAAGAATAAATGTTTTTATAGGCAGATAGCATCTGATAGATGACACCAGAGATTATTCTCTGAATTCCACACGTGTAAGTATACGCACGAACATATTCCACACATCTCTAATAATAGGGTGATGATGATAAATCACTATTCTAATGTCTGTCTAGATATGTAACATTTCAGATTGTTGAATGAAATGTGAATGTTTAAAATACAATGTTTTAAGCCACAGTAGTGGAAACATTTTACAATTCCAATTTCATAGAAAATTTTAAAATGTATTCATGTTCTCAGTATATATATAATAGATTTCTATACTTGCTGCTCTCAGTCTCTCACTCGCCATGCCCTGCAGTTCCCTGACTGGAACCTGCTGGCCCTAGGGGCCCACAGGCCACTAGGGGCTCCCTGCCTGGGATTGGCTGCTTTGTGGCCCGACATGGTCTTTTGCCTGCTGCCCACTGCCACCATGTGGGGACCTGCAGCATTTTACTTAAACCATTACCGTGTCCACTTCTCCATTCAGTGATGGGACCCAATCTGGCACAGACCCATTCAGGCCCTGTGCTTGCTGCTTCAGTTTCTGTGAGTTCATATGACCTTTGCTCAGTTAATTTAGAACACCTTGTTCTCCTGGTGTTCTTCATCCCCTGTGGGTCTTACATTCTTTTTGCCTCCGCTTTCACAGAGTTCCCTGAGCTCTGAGGGGAGGGATTTGATCGAGACATCCTATTTAGGACTGAGTGTTCCAAGGTATCCCACTCTCTGCACATTGCCTAGCTATGGGTTTCTGTATTTGTTCCCATTGACTGCAGGAGGGAGCTTCTCTGATGATGGCTGAGTAAGGCACTGATCTGATTCTCTTTGCACCAGGGCCAGCAGGTTTCCAGGAAATGCCTGTAGGATCCAGTGCCTGAGACCATGAGATCATTTTTAAATAATGTCTTTTCACATGCTATTCAGTCAAAATACAGCTACACTGAATTTGTGCAATGATATTATACAATAGACAGAAATTTGGAATATGACACACAAAAGACAGAGAGAAGTATGCTATGTGAAAATGATGACAAATATTGGAATTAAACATCTCTAACTTAGAACCACCAGTTTTTCTTAAAATAACTAGAATCTAAAGTGAATTCATAAAATAGATTGTTCTCCGGAGTCTGCAGAAGAAAGCTACTATTCTAACACTCTGCTTTTGGACACCTGTCTTACAGATCTTGAGCTACCAAATCACCATTATTTTATACGCTGCAGTTTCTGGGTATTTGTTGCTGCCTTCCTGGGAAATGAATACAAATATTTAATTTTCCCAGCTTGGGTCACTGAAATTTCCTTTGGGTTGACCTCATTTTTCCAACAATATTTTAATTTTGCAGTTAACTTTTGTTTCTTTGAACCTAAACTGAAAACCAATACCTTCTATAAGGAGCCTTGTTCTTTTCTGTTGGAGAACAATGTTTCAAAATGAAACGTTACTGGCAAAATAGGTCTGGCCTAACATAGATAAGACCTGGGGTTCTGTTCTGTATAAAACAAGAAACTCGGAACTAGAGTGATGGCTCAGTGGTTAAGAGCATTTCGTGTTCTTGCAGATGATTCAAATTTGGTTCCTTGCAGCACCCACACTGGGCTTCTCACAAGTGCCTGTGACTCTAGCTCCAGGAAATCCTTCATCTGCTTCTGGCCTCCATAGGCACCTGGCCTACATGAAACTTGCACATAGAAACATAGACACACACACAAAGAGAAATAAATGTTTTAAAAGGAACTCTGCAAAATGTAAGCGTTTTCATCTTTCTGAGGCTTCACAGTATCCAGTTTTATTTCAGACATACATCAAGGAAAGTTATGTTTCTATGTCAACATACACATATATACATAGCTATACTTTTGTATCTATATTAAAAATCATATACATGCACTGATAACTGATTCTGACCTGGTGCCACAATGTTTATTCTAGCAGTACAGCTATCCCCACCATATGTATTTTATTCCTCAACCACAAGAAAGCGCATTCTGATTATGTGCAATATACTTACTCAATTCTAGTATAAAATATGGAGTGATTTTAGAAATTTTAACTCAATATGCTGTGAGAAATGCATTTGCCAAGCTAATTACAGTTCTTCGCTTTAGCCTTGTCAGAAAGTTATCAGTTTAACTTGTTTTTCCTCTTCTAATTCTTCGCACAGTTGTGATGCTGTGCGGCTCATTTTAAGTATGCTGTGTTAAATGTTCATATATCAATTTCTGTTCGAACATTCTGATTGACTTCAAAATTTTACTTTGTAGTTTTTTGACATTGTTATAATTCTGAGAATTAAGTTTATACAAAGTTGCTCTAAAGAAAATTCTAATTTGAAACTTCCTTTGGGCTGGAGGAGTCAGCCATGATAAGTTAAATATAATGGTCACCCAAAGGAAGTTTTTTACTTCCAACCATTATCTCTTGTCAAAATAGAACTCGGCCACTCATAAATTTAAATGGAAGCCTGAGTCTCAGTAGTTTACCCTGAAGCAATACCTGGTAGCAGGAAGAACCACAAGCTGAGATTACCTGACCACCACTGATTTGAACAGACCATTCAAAGGAAATGCCTAACATTCCAACCGCTGTAGATAGGACCTGCCAACACACACTCACCAGGACATATGTCAGCCGATGAGGGGTCCTAAACCTCAGAAACCTCTCACCCCCACCTTTACTACTATTAAAACCCATCCTAACTGAGCTCGAGGCCCTCCATTTATTCCAATACATTGGACATGCTGAGAGACCAGGTTTGCAAACCTGCTTAAAATAAAGGCTCTTTGCTTTTACATACGGGACTCGGTTTCCTTGTTGGCTTTTGTGGGGACCCACGGATTTGGGCATAACATGGGCCTCTGCTGCTGCATACATATCTCCACTTTCTTCTGTCAATAATACTACTTGTAGGCATTGGCAAATTGTGCTGTGTAATTATTCCAGTTTGCATTCTATCAGCTGTCTGTGACAATGCTTGCTGTTATGACAAATACCCGACCAAAGCAACCTGAGGAAAGAAGAGTGTGCTTAGGCCCACATTTTGAAAATATAGTCATCTGGAAGTCACAGTACTGTCAGGGACCAGCCTCGACAAAAATACCTCTCATCAGGGTAGAGGCATAGGGATTTAGAAATATAGTAAAAAATATGAAGACGCGAATGAAATAATAAAACAGAGAAACATATAGGATAGTATCAGGAGGGAATTTTTGTGGGTACTCAAAATTTACCCAAATTTAA